AGGGAAGAATTGGGTGGCTAATCACTTGATACATTTTCAGAGGAAACATTGCAGAAAAGTTTTCTCTAATCCGTGGGGCCTCCCTCCTCTTGAACTCTCCTGCTTGAGTGGTCCCTGCAGCCTGAGTAACCCTGGGCCAGAGGTTGGGAAGCCAAGCCCTTCATCCACCCATCCCACCACGATTCTTTAGGTACAAGGATTTGCCCTCAACCAGAGTCGCTGCTGGAGGGTGTGGATTCCCTTCCTGGTGGGTCTCACCCATGACCCTTCCCCAGGCCCTGCCCCTCCCCCAGGCCCTGCCCCTTCCCCAGGCCCTGCCCCTCCTCCAGGACCTGCTCCTCCTCCAGGACCTGCCCCTTCCCCAGGACCTGCCCCTTCCCCAGGACCTGCCCCTTCTCCAGGACCGATAAGGAGGGCAGGGAGGAGAGGCCTGGGGAGCACCTTCCCGGGCAGCCTCTTGGAAGGACCAGGCAGCCCTCCGTGTCCACCACTAACTGCAGCAGGAAAGGTTTTGGTCGGATCCGGTGAAGCATCTGGGTCCTCACAGGCTCTGCATGGCAGGTGACTGTCACCAACGCCTCTGGACACCCTCCCTCCATGATCACAGGGCCCTTCCTCCAGACTCCTCCCCATGGGGAGGAGCTCCCAGATAAGGACCTGTCTCTACCTTTGCTTCCCTGAAGGAGCCAAGAAAACACTCCCTCCAGCCCCAGGCGACTCCGGCTGCTGTTGCTGCACAGCCTGGAGCTGGGGCTGGAGGAGGCCCAGGGAGCACAGAATGCCTGCTGACAAGCAACCACACCGGGCTCTCCCGGCCCAGCCAGGATCTCAGGACCTGACCAGTCCTCTAGGAACCTCAGTATCATCATCCATTATAAACAAACAAACCCCAGCCACCTCCTAGGCTGCTCTTAGGAATAAATCAGACAATAGATGTAACCGGCCCAATAGATGTAACTGCTCCGGGCCTCAGTTTTCTCATCTGTCCAATGGGGAAGGTAGCCCTAACCTACACCCTGACAGGACTTTGGGGAGACAAAGGGCAAGGTGTGCCCAAGAATTCACTAGCGCTCCCTCCTGGCTTTCCTTTCAGAAACGCAGAATCTGTGCCCAGAGTTAACAGCTCGTGGGGTTGGAGGCCAGGATTCTGCCTGAGCACGTCCACAGGCTGGAGGCCACAGGAGAGGGACTTTCCCCGGAACCCAGGGAGTGTGACATCACCATTGCACTGAGGAGAGTGAGAGCACAGAAATAATAGTAGTGACAGCGCGTCACACAGACCTCGGCCAGCTCCAAGTTCGCTCATTTGAGAAAATAATCTTTTAGGTCATGCTGGCTACAAAGCTACTACCTAATTTTCCTGTTTTCCTACCCTGCTCTTGGCCCCGGTGCCCAGCCCAACCCAGCCCAGCCGGGGCTCTGTGTGCGGCTGGGGAAGCTTCCATAACTCAGCACTTGGCAGGCGCAGCAGCAAAAGGCCCAGCTGGAAAGGCACCGTGAGTCAGGGTGCCACTCTAATACGCAAACATCAAAGCCTCCCCCGCCCTCACCCTAATCGCTGACCCCAGGCACAGAAATCATATCCAAGAATGGGTTCCACAGCACAAAACTGACAGGGGCCTCCTGTGGCGGTTCCTTCCAGAGAAACCAGGAGGGAGAAGGGGACAGTTGTAGACTAGTCCCTGTGAGGGGGCATGTGGATGGAACCAGGTATAAGTAAAGATTTAAACAAACAATGCATCACTATGAAAACATTTGGCTTTTTCGAAGGCATTGCTAAGAACAATAATCAAGAATTCAGATTCAGCTTTAACCGGTGTGGCTCCATGGATAGAGCATCGGCCTGCAGACCAAAGGGTCCCAGGTTCAATTGTGGTCAAGGGCACATACTGAGGTTGCAGGTTCCTCCCCAGCCTGGGCCCTGGTCAAGGCATGTGCAAGAGACAACCTATCAATGTGTGTCTCTTACATGGATATTTCTATCTTCCCCTCTCTCTTCCACTCTCTCTAAAAATCAATGGAAAAATATCCTCAGGGGAGGATTAAAAAAAAGAATAATAATAATTCAGATTCAACACTACAAGTGTTTACTTCCAGAAAAGGCAAAGTGCGTCTCAGATATTTTGCAGCCAAACAGAAGTCGCCAGAACTCAAGGAGACATTCCCCACAGGGCAGGGACCCATCATGCCAGGCTTTCTCTTAATTAAGCCCTCCAACTGGGGCACTGCGCTCATCACGGCGCCCACTCAACTCTTCTGGGGTTGCCGTGACACAAGAGAAGGTGCCAGTTGCTGGCAGGGTCACATCAGCCATGGAGGCAGTAGGAGGGAGGGCCACGAGGACAGGGCAGGCTTACGAGCTGTGTCCCACACTTATTAGGAATCTCAGAGGCCGCCCGAGCCAGTGGGCCCTATTTCCACACTGCGGATATACTCTGATGCCAGGCACACGTTCCGACCCGCGCTTCGAGGCAAGCATTTCTCTGGGCTGTCTGCTGGCTGGCACTGGGAAGTGTTGTGAAGAAGCCTGATGCTGAGTTTGGGCATCACTCACAGTCTCCAAATGTACTCCCAGGTAAGAATAAAGAGAGGAAGGACCACTCATCTACCTCTGAAAGTTTCTTAGACATGGTCAGGAAACACTACCAGGAAGGCTGGATGCGTACTTGTCTAACTTGCCAGAAACTGGATTCTTTCCCCGCAAATGAGCTTCCCCAGTAAAATGGCCAATGACTAGTCCATTTGGCACATGGTCTCTGACAAGGAGATGCCAGGTTGAATGGGAGGGGTTACAGATGCTGCCCTAATGCACAGGAAAGCCAGGGGACAAACAAAGTGGCCTGGTCGTCAGCTCTACCAGCAGCTATGGGGCTGCTGGGCCACCAGCCTTGCCAGCAGGTATGGGGAGGCTGGGTTACCAGCTCTGCAGGAGCAAGCCCTGAGCTAAGGGCCCAGGGATGCTGAGCAGACTACTCTGCCTAAATTCAGTAAGGCAGAGGCAAAAGCACAGTTTAGGGACTGGCCTGTGCTTTGAATTCTGGTTCTGCCACTTATAAGTCCTGTTAAATTTCTTAAGCTCTTGGAGACTCAGCTGCTTGCTTGGTCTCTGTCATGGAAACAGCATCTTTCTCGCAGGGCTAAGACTAGGGACTCTGTATAAAACGCTCCTAGGACAGTGTGTGGCAGGATATTAAAGCTCAAATAAAGGGCAGCTAAAAAACGAAACCTGTTTTCTCCATCATGCTACAGCCACATATTTGCTTCCTCTGCTTTACCAGGAATGTTAGTAGAACAGCTTCACTCCTAATCCCAGGGAAGATCTACCACCAGCAAAGCCCAGCAGCAGGCGATGCAGTCACTGAGTAGGGCTGCCCCCGCTAGGGTCTGAATTCCTGTCTCATCCTAAACCCTGTCCTATGACTCTATGGCGAGTCCCTCCTGCACGGTTCAGGAGGGACACTATTTTCGTGGTGGGGCAGTTCTGGCACTGGGCAGCAGGAAACAAAACCTCTGGTGGCGCTCAGCTGAAGAAAGCCAGCACTTGCCTCCCTGGCAGACGGGGCTGCGATGAGTGAAGAGGTCGGATCTGCAGCTGACGCAGGGGAGGTCAGGCCCTACATTAGGAGGGATGCTGTAAGACCTGGGACCATCTGCCAGTCCTTTCATGTCTGGGAATGGAAGAGGAATTTCCCCGTGTCAGGTGTCAAACTCATAACTGAAGCAGACTCTACCACCCTGGCCAGGTTTTGTTTGTTTGTTTGTTTTAATAGGAGAAAAGCTGGGGATTAAAAAGAGGCTTTGTTTTTATGGTGATTTGTACCTCCCTCGCAGGAAGGCTTAGTATGATGGTCAGGTTTTATGAAGCATTTAGAATTTCTCAGAGAAAGGAGCTGTACCCAGGTAACAGCATTAACAGAAAAGGTGGAGGGATTCCAATGCAAGAAGCCGAGAGCTTGCGGGAGAGCCCATCAGAGCAGAGCCTGGCTAGGCGTGGCGCTACACTAGGAGCTCCGGGGCAGGACCCCGCCCAGCCTCCAGCACTTTGCCCTGATCGTGGGACCATCAGCCTTACAGCACTGGATGGAAACAAGATCAAAAGCAAGGAGGCTCTGTAAATTCTCCCCACAGGCAGCTAGGGAAACTCTAATGCTCCTGGCCTATTTTCATCCATTTTCTTTCTCTCTGCTTTTTCTTATCTTGGTTTGGAATTAATCTGGCACACTGCCTAACTCAGGAGGTCAAGACCACATGGTTTTATGGTGCAATAGGGGCCGCTATGTTGTTGTGTTTTGGGAACCTCGGTGACATCATGGACTAGGCCCTGAGTCCCGGGAACTTGGGTCTTAAGGGAACACTGAGTCAGAAGACAGCCTTAGTCACAGGGCCACTGGAATCTCAATGGAGAGAACCATTAGGTAACCGAGTCTGCTCTCTGCGGGGCTGCTCCAGCTTCTGTCTGGTTTGGGTTTAAATGACTCAAGTCATTCTCCAGGGGAAACTAATTTATGTGGAACAGCTGCCACTAGCAGAGCATTTGCTGCTCTTGAGCCCAAATTTCTCATGACATCAGGCAAGTATTCTTCCCTCTGAGGGGACAGTTTTATCTTGTATTAAGAAGTCTGGGTGGCGGCTTGAAGATGGCGTCCTAGTGAACACTGCCTTCACCTTTATTCCCAGCCGTAACCTGTCTGGGGTGTCCCGGGAGGACTGGCAGTTAAATACAGTGCCCCCAGAACACGCGGCTTTCCATTACAATAGCACACGAGCCACACCGCTAAGGAGTCAAGGCCGACTTCAGCTAGGCTCTGTGAGCCACGTCTGTTTGGGTTTCTGCAGCTGTCTGCCTACGGACGGCTCCAGAGTCCCTGACGCACATTTATATCTCCACTAAATTTAGTCACGAGGAACAAACACGTGTGCATTTACACCAGCGCAAAGGCCATTCACATTTTTTCAAATGGAGCAAGGGAGGGCAGCAGAAAAACTGTTTATGGACAGAATCATCCGTGAGCACAGCCGTAGGGGTTTTTAATTTACCTAAACAAAATATGTGCTTTCAAGATGTGATTAGGGATTACTGTTCCCACAGTAAACATATTATGGATGTGAACTGCTGGCTGGTAGTTAACAGGGCTCTGAGCTGGGAAGTCAGTCTGCCCCTTGTCTTCCAAACAGCCATGCGGGGAGATCAGCTGGACCAGCCTCTGGAAGTTTCTTCATGGTGGAAGGTTGCTCAGTCTCGGCACGGCTTCTCTCTCAAAGATTTCACATCACTGGTGCGCCCCTCTCGGGTCTGGATAGACTGTCCGAAAGGTCAGGTTTATTCTCTGTGCTCTAGAGTGGTACTCTTTGGGCACCCGATGCTAAATGGAAATAGAAATAACTTTGACATAAACACACACACATTTTTATTTCAAAGCCATTTGAAACTTATTTATGAGTATATATACTCATTTCGATTTTATGCGCCCTTAAGTAGGCAGCGTTAGATGTTTAGAGTCTTGTGGAGAATGGTCTCCTTCTCTGAAACACCCCAACCCCCCTGCCCCACTACGAGATGCCAGCACCCTCACAGTGCAACGGTTTTGTCTTTTCTAATACTTGCTCTTCCTCTCAGCCTCCTGCCATGTTTCTGAATCTCATAAGAAAACAAATAAATGGTTGAAACCAAAGAAAGATGTGGGACTCTGCTCTTATGCTAAGTGTTCTCACATTAATTTGCACAACATAAAAATGACCTGCCCTGCTGGTGTGCTTAGTGGTTGAGCATTGTCTATGCACCAGGTCTCCAGTTCAATTCCGGGTCAGGGCACATGCCAGAGTTGCAAGCTCAACCCCCAGTAAGGGGTGTGCAGGAAGCAGCAGATAGATGTTTATCTCTCATCAATGTTTCTCTCTCTCCTTCCCTCTCCCTTACTTTCCTTGAAATCAAGACAGGCATTTTTTAAAAAAATGACCTCCCCTTAAGATGGCCTGGCCTAAGCTGTGGACCTACACAGCTCAATATGCTGGTCACTAGATATCTGAAGCTACTTCATTTATTTAAATTAAAGCTCAGTTCTTCTGCATACTAGCCATATTTCAGGAGACCCACAGTCACATGTGTCCAGTGGCCAGAACATTGGGCTGCACAGATATAGGACATTCCCCTCACTGCGGAAGTTTCTATGGACGCCGTCGCTATAAAGGTCTGGTTCCACTATCAGTAGCATCAAAACTCCTGGGCAAGTATAAAAGCAACTTGCTCTGCACCATGTTTACAGAAATGGATTATTGTAAGCCAGGCAGACGCTGCCTCCACATGAGCGAATCCACATTACTTGCGCGTTCTCACCTGCCAGTCAGCTTGCGTAGCTCCCTCCATGATTAGCAAGGTCCCGTGATCCAAGGGTATCTTCACTCTTTCCACATATGTGTAGTCTCCATTCTCTTCCTAGAAAACAGCATTCACTGCACTGAAGTTTGTGCTTGTGTGATCAAGATGCAACAGAACACAACTCTGGTCAAAGAAACGGGCGCCTCCCCAGTCAGACTGCAGGGGTCAGTGAATGGCTGTCACTTGGCAGCAGCCTGGCCTTAGGCCAGGCATTTCCCCTCTCTGTACTGTGGGGATGATGACAGCACCTGCCACATCAGTCACAGGGCCATCGGGAGCCTCCAGTGATGCAGTGTGTGGCAATCACCTGGAGACCAGCACAAAGTGCTAGCTATTGTTATTATTATCAGCATCCCAAACGCAGAAGAGCCCATTCTGGCCCAAGAAGGAGTTACAATTCATCTATCCAAGAACTCTTTACGTCTGCTTTATGCTGTGCGCTGTTTAACGTAGCGTGGGAGGATGGGTTTCTAAACAAGACATGGTATGATGAGTTCTGATCATCGTCCACAATTTATGCCAATTCACTAATCAGTACCTATGTTAAAACTAGTCCTTCGGTGTTCTGGCGACATATTCCTGTTTCTTCCCAGAACAGTCAACAGTGACATTTTCCCAGAGAAGTGAGCTCTGGCTCAACCAGAAAGCATAGCAAACTGAGACTTGCTGTTTAAGCCTTGGAAAGTGGGCCACGATTCCTGAACACTCGGGACACAGAGACGCCTGGCATTTTACATTGCCCAGTCTTCCAGAAAGCGCAGGCATGGCCGGTATCGCAATGAAGCTCCACGGCACAGCCTGCGAAGCAGCCGACAGGTGGTGTTGCTCCTCCCGCACAGCTGATGGGGTGCATTGCACAACTTCCCTGCTCGCAGAGTTGAGACTGGGACTGACCCGCACTTCCTGATTTCTTCATCTCTTTTCTGAGCTGATCCACCCATTCCTCTGCTTCACTGGTGCACGGGACTACCTCTGGGTTAGTGCAGGATTGATTTCGCTGCAATACCGTGTTTATGCTCATTATTGCAGGGGTGCTTCTGAGAACATAACAGTTTACAATGACTTCCCCCAGGAAAATCAAAATCAAAACAATAATGAACTAGAATAAACAGTCTAAGTTCCAGGCCCCAACCATTGGCGGAGACTGTGCAAGCAAACTCATAATTTTTACAGGCAGAATATAAGAAACAATGTTTGAAATAACTTTCAGTGATTGGTTTTAATGGTGTCTGCCACCTCTTTTCTTCCAGTAGTATGTATGCACCAAAGCATTTACCTCTTACCCCCTCAGCCAACCAGAGAGCAGTGGGAAGGTGACCTTGTCCTTCTCAGAAAGGCTCCATCTCAGAAGAGCAAAAAGTCTCTCTGAAATAGGTGTTCCAGACGGAGGACATGATGTCCTTCTAGAGAGAAGATATCAGGAGGGAGTGCGCTGTCCATGAGATTAGAAGGCCCCAGGCCCTGTGACTTAGGCTGGAGAGTCAGTTACCAGACCAAGGTTTGCACAGCGAGAGGCAGACCTGCTGCCCTCTTCATAATCTGGGAGCGCCATGGGTCTTAATCTACCAAGCACAGACACGAGGACAGGAAAGGGAAATGAAGCAGAGAGGAAAGACGCTCAACCACAACATGAAGACAATCCTGAGATGAAGATCTCGTAGAACATTTAAAACAATATAGGGAGGAGGGGTGCCAGGCCAGTGGAAGAGAAGAGGTGAGCACTGTAATTCTACCTGGAAACATGAAGCAGGAATAAGCCTAGCAAGTGAAAGAGAATTCCAACTGCAAGAGGGAAATACCAGCGCTAATGGAAAGTGATGCTCAACTGATCTTCATTTCCCTTAATGCTCCTAAGAGCTGAACTTTTCAAATGAGAGAAGGCCGCAGGTTGGTATGAATAAATTTCATCCAGTGTAACCATTAGTTGGGCCTAAAAGTGGATGGGGGTGAGCCTGCACTTGTGAGGGAGCTACTCTAGTCAGTCCCTAAAGGAAACAGCAACACACCGTGCACCCACCATGAAAGGTGACACCAATACCTCAGGGTTTGTTATTTGTTCCTTCCAATACCTCTGGCTTAGAAAATGTGTTCCTGGTTTGCAAGAGATAGAAAAGGGGGCAAAGGATTCTACCAGGGCAACACAGAGCTCACAAATGCTTCCTTCTCCTACGGCCAGAGGCAACAGACCGCCGTGCCACCGCTGAACTTAACCAAGACCCACAGAGACTTTCACTTAGGAAGCAGATAACAGGCCAGAGGAGCCCATGTGGCTGTGCTGAAGGCTGAGCTGATAAATGGATAAGAGCAGTAGTGGAAGCACAAGCCAGACGGTTGAGAGGAGCACATTCACAGGCATTAAGCATGGTTACTTTACCAAAACACATCTCTGTAACCCTTTCAATTTAATCAGGTCTTTCTTCAAAACAAAACAAAACACAGCCCTAAAAAACCATGGCTTAGGATAAAATTTTCCATCCCTGATCCCAGTTAAAAGAAGCTTTTAGGGCCACAATCAGTCTACAGAGTAGGTTTTATTGGTCCTGGTCTTGGTTTTCCACGCATGTGAAACCTCACAAGTAGATGGGAAAAGGAAAAATATATATTTTATATTAGTGGAGATCAACATTCTCCCTCCTTCCCAACCACAGTCAGTTCATTTGAATGTTGAACCATAATTTCCAAGGGAAGTAGGGCTTCCCAAAATTCCACAACTCTCATGTCCACCTCACCAAGATATGAGCCTTTTCAGTTTCCTTTAGAACAGTGGTTCTCAACCTTCTGGCCCTTTAAATACAGTTCCTCATGTTGTGACCCAACCATAAAATTATTTTCGTTGCTTCTAGGTCAGTGGTTCTCAACCTTCTGGCCCTTTAAATACAGTTCCTCATGTTGTGAGCCAACCATAAAATTATTTTCGTTGCTACTTCATAACTGTAATGTTGCTACTGTTATGAATCGTAATGTAAATATCTGATATGCAGGATGGTCTTAGGCGACCCCTGTGAAAGGGTCATTCGACTGCCAAAGGGGTCATGACCCACAGGTTGAGAACTGCTGCTTTAGAAAAATGCTATTTAGGAAAAAATGTCTGGATGTATTTATTATGTCATTACTAACCACCCAACAGACAGGAAATCTAAACATTATTCTCTTCATTGGAAAGGTAACTTCACACTGTATGAGCTCTGTGTTGATTTTTTCACATAATTATTCCTTCCTTGTCCTAAAAAAGTGTCTTAGAGATTACAACCAACCATCAATGCCTGAAAAATCACCGTTGGCATCGATTTTCTTTTTACTATAAAATTAACATAAGCTTACCGAAGTAAGTGATGCACTTGTAATTTCCTGTTCAATGTCTGCCTTCCTACTCTGATAAACTCCATGAGGAGAGGTCAGTGTTGTCTTGCCTTTCAAAATATGCTCAGTGCCAATCATCACCTACATCAACAAATAAGTGCTGAATGACTGAGGAAAATCACCAAGAAATATAAAAATCACCTTTAATCCTACCATCCAGAATTCATACAACACATGTACAGGAATAGTCTACAGATTATTCTACATTATTCCACAACCGTGTACTCTACATTTTAACACTATATTGTGAGCATTTTCCTATGTCTTAAATATACGTATTTCAAAAATATGGCCACATGATATTCCTTTGTCTGAACATATCCTTCCATCTTTAATCTCACAAATGTATTTTATCACCTGTTTATGTTAGGCACTGTGCTTATGGTAAGGATATAGCAGTGAGGTACCCATGTTTGGAGATTGAGATTTTCATTTACAAGTACTGCTAAAAAGAAAGAGAAAGAAAAAACTACTGCAAAACATTTCTGAGTCTATTTCTAGAATATATTCTTAAAATGGAATTGCTGGATCCAAGGGCATGAACTTGAAGCAATTTGAGTTATACCACCAGGCTGCCTTCTTAAGAAGGTTGTGGTAACGAATGATTCCATCAAGAAAGTATGATAGTGTCTGTCTTCTGGCCATATCACTAATACTGAACATTATCAACTGTCTACGATGAAAAAACTTAGGGATAAATGGCAACTTATTCTCAGAGCCCTTTAATTAATAACCCAGATCAACAATTTCTCACATGCCTATTTGCTGTTTGCACCTCTGCTGTGAACTCTCTGCTCATGTTTTTGTGCATTGTTCCACAAGATGTTAACATTTTTCTTATTGATCTATAAGCGCAGATAGATATTTTGACTTTGTCTGTCATACTCATTTGCTACTTGCCTTCTGTTTTATCATATTTAACACAGAGTAGCCCCAAAACTTTTAGAGTCAACTCTAATGACCTTTCTTTGGCTCTCCTCCACAGTTTTTGTGCTTAGAAAGTCTTTTCCTATCATGAGGAAAATTAAATATACAACTGCATTTCCTTTTAGTTTAAAAAAAAAAAAGAGGGAGTTTATATCTTTTAGATTTAACTCTAATCCACTTAGAGTTGAGTTTTTTTTCTCTCAGGCTTCTTTTTATAACTATTTCTAGGTATTTAAACCAAGGGACCTGCTGGACTTTTTGGACAGGATTAACCACAGTGTGTGCTGCTCAGGTGCCAGGCATGCTAACATACTATAAATACATTATTTCTAATCCTCACTACAATCCTCTAAGGGAGGTTATATTATCCATTTTTCTTAAGCCAAGGGAGCTGGAGGGAAAGTACGTTTCTAAGGCAGGAGGCGGGCAGGGCTAGAACTCGAGCTTATATTTGCCTAGCTCTAAAGCCTCTATACTTTCCACTATGCTGTGCTCTCCAAAGTGACCTCTGTTCCTTCTGAAATCCTGCAATATTTCCTGTCCTGTCCTAATTATGTAGCACCCTGACTGCACTGTAAAGATCACAAACACCAGCAAGTAGCATAAACAAGGGGTGTGGGCCGAGCACAACACAGCGGGGAGTGGGGACCACGGAGAACCAGGGAGCATGGGGCCTGCACAGGGATGGCTGCTCTGCAAAGCCAGCTCACTGTCCCCCCATGTTGCCAAATCTGGGAAGCTGATAAGTGAAATTTTTATGTAAAAGCTCT